ATGGGGAAAACAGCCAATCAGAGTGCTCCAAGCCTGGGGGAGAGCCACCATAATTCTAAAGCTGCGCCGAGGACCTCCCTGCAAGAGGCAGAACAGCGGCAGCATGGGGCGTTAGGTGGCGGCACTCCATCCCAGCCCCCTCCCACCCCCACCCCACATCATTCTTGACAGGCAATTGGCTAGTTCTAATATTATAAAAGCCTACGTCTGTCTGTCTGTCCGTAGCGCTTTATTCGCATTCTGATTGGCTGACGGAAACAGCCAATCAGAGTGCTCCAAGTGTGGGGGAGCGCGCCATGATTTCAAAGCCATGCCGAGGACCGGACAGAGGGTGGGGGAGCTGAGGGCAACAGCCCTGGCCATGGCTCTCCCACCCTGCTCCCTGCAAGTAGCAGAAGAGTGGCAGCGTGGGCCGTTAGGTGGCGGCACTCCATCCCAGCCCTGCCCGCCCGTATCATTCTTGACAGGCAATTGACTAGTTAATAAGCATTTTGGAAGGGATATTTATGCCTTAGGATTTAAGTCAATATTAGCGATCAGGATGAAGCCTCGGCAAATTATCCTACAGCTGTCGTCTAGGGTTTTCAGCAAAATCTTTTTATACGTTCCTTTGAGACATCTGGAATTGGCCCCTTTTAGATTAGATGAACCTCAGGTCTGATCCATGAGAAGAAACGTTATGTTCCTATTCATTGACAAAGGGGCTTCCTTCGAGTCCACACTACAGCATCCCTCCCTGCTCATCAGGAAGTCGTGTGTGTTCTCAGCCTCTCAACATGTATGATTGGATGAAGTCACATTTCCTTTTTCAGTTTATTATTCCAAGAAATATAGTTGTGATTTTTACTGTGTATTGTGTTAATTAAGATCAAGTACTGCTTTTGATATGTAAAGCATTGTAAAGTATTTAATAAGTTTAATTAGCTTATTTAATTACAACGTGACTATTATGCCCGTAGTAAAATCAGCTAATTATTTCAGAACAATATTTGGGGAGTCTTAAAAATAGCTTTTAACCAATATAAAAATAAAGTTATCGACCAAAATATTTTCTGGAAGTATCTGTATCCTTGTCAATATCTGCAACACTTCAGTTAGTCTATAAGGTGCATCTCCACCCTGACTTCTGCCTGACTTTAGGCCAACAGGGCTACTACTTCTCTTAGGTCTACAGTAATGTGTTTTATGGCCTCAGCTCTCTGGAAGAAAGGTTTGATTTAATGATCTCATTACAGGGGAAAAGAAATATGTAACATTGTAATATTTTACCAAAAGAAAACGGAAATATTTTTCATTCGTAGTGGAGTTTTACAGCACACAAAAGCTGCAACAGACTGCAAGGTCTTTTTTCCGATCTTGATTTTAAACTCAGTAAACATCATAGGGTTAATAAGAAGTAGCAGACTACGTTTGTGCAGCCCAAGGGATCTGAAATACTTTAAAACTTCATACGATCACAGGAAAGTAGGGCTGGAAGGGACATCACAAGGTCATCTAGTCCGGCCTCCTGATCAAAGCAGAAACACTCCCGACTAAATCATCCCAGCCAAGTGCCTGTCTAACTTGCCCTTGAAAATTTCCAAGGATGAGGATGCCACAATTTCTCTAGGCAGCCTGTGCCAGTGCTTGGCCACCCACGGTGCCAGAAAACCCCTACTAATCTCTACATTTTCCCTGCTGCATTTCAAGGCATTGCTCCTAGTCCTGTCCACTAGGGCAATTCTCAACCTTTTGCACCTTACGTCCCACCAACCACTTTGTCAAGAAACCCTGGTCCCACCGTGATAAAAACAAAACTCCACTTTTTTGCCAAGAAGTGTATTTTTACGTCTACATGCACTTTAGGGACATTAAAAACTGCAATAATTTTGTTGAGAAAAGTCCCACCGACACGACCCTCACCATGAACGCGTGCCTCCGGAGGCTGGGGGGCACAGCGACTGCCCACTGGCTGCCGCAGGAGTGTGGTGGCAGGGAGCGGGGAGCTCCTGCAGGCAGCCGCAGCAGTATCAGTGGCGGTGGGGGTGACAAGCACTGGCCAGCCGCCAGCAGCCACCTGCAGACACCGCCAGCAGTGGCCAGTGGTGATACACGACCGCCTGCAGACGCCACTGATGGTGGCGAGCAGCGACTGCCTACAGATGCTGCTAGCAGCGGTGGCAGCGGCCGATTGCAGGGGTCCACCACCAATCTCAGGGGGTGCACATACACCCGCATGCACCCCCTACACGTCGCCTGTGACCTTCGCATCCTGCCGGTTGAGAAACACTTTCCTCTGGTCCCTCTCCCCTCTCTAGGTGCCCTTCAGGTGTTATCCACCCACCCCCTCAGTTTTCTGGGACAAAAGTTGCATAAACCAGCTTGACCTGAATCAGTTAAATCTGATACCACATTCAACCAGGTTAATCTTAAACCTGTTTCAGCCATTTTGAAACTGGGTGATGTGTACTGTTCAGTTTAGGGTGGCCATCAATCACGGAGGACAGTCTGGTTGTCCACACTAAACCCGATGCCTTGATGTCCTCTATTTTTCTCTTCAAGAGGCGTTGGGTTTTGTATCAAGAGGGCAGAGGACAACTGGATTGTCCTTTATGATGGCCACCCTAGTTCGGTTACAGGTTTAACGCAGTTTCTGATCTCTTAAACCAGTTTACTTGCGACTTCCGTCCCTAGCTGTGTTCACGCTAAACTCTAGTTCTTCCAGCCTTTTTTCCTAAATCTCCTATAACGCGCATTGCGTTCTGCCCCCGAACCCAAAGCCTAATTCTTCCAGCCTCATTCCCTCAATCTCCTGTCATTCGTCCCCCGTTCCCCCTAGCCTCTTTTGCGACATCTATCATTTGCATTGCTTTGTGCCCCTATTTCCCAAAGGAGGGAAATCAAACAAGCAGGGACACGGACGAACCTCGGAAGCCAGGGGGCACAACGGACTGAAGGAGCATCTTGAAGGACAAGGAGGGAGGTCATGAGGGGAGGCGACCAGGGGGCCTGAGGAGCCCTCCGAAATAAGAAGGCGAAAGGCTCGAGTTCTTTTTATTGATTCCATCCTCCCGCCGCCCTGAGGGGCTTCATGGCGGGCTCCCCGCGCGCGGGAAAGACTGAAGGGGGGAGGGGGCGGGGCGCGGCCAACGGGCGCCAGGCGGCGGTTGGGCTCAGCGCGCGGCGCATGCGCGGGGCGGGCGCCGGTCACGTGAGCGCTGCCCCTCCCTCGTCTTGCCCCTGCCCGCCCTGTGTCCGCGCCGCGTCGCTCTCCGGGTATTTGAATCGCGCTTCCGCCATCTTCTTCCCTGCGCCCAGTCACGGAGCCCAGCGCCGCGGAGAGACGCCTCAGCAAGGTAGCGGTGGACCCCTGTGGCGGGTGGGAGCGCGGATGGGGCTGCGGGGCAGCGGCGGGGCCTAGTGCGGCGAGGGGTGGGGCGGGTGTGGGGCGGTCGGCTCGGCGCGGCTCGGTTCGGCTGGGCTGTGCTCAGTCATGGTGGCGGGAGGCCCGCGGGGGCGCGGCCGCCATTGCCGCACGCTGGGGCAGGAGGAGGATGAATGGGCCTGGCCGGGCAGGCGCGGCGGAAGGGGCGGGCGCGGCGCACGCGGTCAGGCCTCCATCGCCTCCATCGCCCGCCGCCTCACTCCGCTTCCGTCCCCTCCCGCAGACCCAGCATGGCTGCCCAGGGAGAGCCCCAAGTGCAGTTTAAGGTAAGGAGCCGTTTTTCCCGCTTTCCCACCCGGGGTGATCCGCTGTCTTCCCTGAGGCCTTTTTTTTTTTTTTTTTTTGGGGGGGGGGGTATGGCTCTTTTTCTTTTTCTTCTTCTTCCTAGTTCGTAGTTCTTATTCATGTTTTTCACTCCACGGCTGTCCGAAGTACCAGGGAAAGCCGCAGTGCTCCTAATTCTCCCGGCCTTGGGGGCGCTGCTGGTTTGCCGGATGTAGATGTCTCCGTCGCACTCCTTGTAACCCGGAGGAGTTTAAATCGGGAGGTCCTGCAAAAGCCACGGAGGAGGCTCGATCATGTTTCTTTTTTTAACCCATCTTAAATTTGCCGCGTTCAAGGCAGATGAGTCTTGATCTTGTTCCTTTTTTTTAACCCTAAACTTTAAATCGGGGCGCCCCGTGGAAAGTCACGTGGGGAGTCTTGATCATACTCCTTTTTTAACATGAATCACTTAAACTTTAACATCTCCATGGCTTTGGTGGCATTCCACGGGGCATCCTGACCTAAAATGTTGGGTTAAAGGGACCTGATCAACACTCCTCCATGGCTTTTTTGCGGCCTTCCACGGGGCATCTTTTTAATTTTTAATGGTTCGTGTTTAAAAAGGAAAAAAAAGAACATGAATCAAGACTTGTCCAGTGGAAGGCTACAAAAGCCATGGAGCTCTTAATTTTAATGACTTTGTGTTTTAAAAAAAGAACACGATCAAGATGATTGTGGCTTTTGTCACCTTCCATGAGGCACGAGTTACTTTTTTTATTTTAGTGTTAGAAAAGGAACGGAAAATTGAGACTTCTCCATAGAAGGCCACACACAACCACAGGGGAAATCACGATTCTTTTTTTTTAACATGAATCATTAAAATTAAGATGTCTAGTGGAAGGCTGTAAAAGCCATGGAGAAGTCTTGATTTGAGTTGGATCTCCATGGCTTTTGTAGCCATCCACGGGACAAGTCTTGATTTACGTTCCTTTTTAACCAGAATAATTTAAATTTTAAGATGTGCTGTGGAAGGCAGAAATCTGTTATTGAATCTCATCCTGGTGCCTTTCATGATTCAAGATGAAACGAAAGATACAGTTGCTGACCTGGACCAGTCTAGCACTGCAGTATTTCAGTGCTTAACCCACACTGACAAACCCAGCCAACTTCTGTTTTTTTCTTCTCTCTTTTAAAAAGAAAAAAGAAAAAAAAAAAGTGTTCTAACAAGCGTTCTTCAGGCTAATAAAAATAGTTTGGAAGTGCTGGTTGCTAACCTGTCTGTCCTTTTAATCTGGAGTTTCATAGACGTGAGGACTGGAAGGGACCTGGCAAGATCATTGGGTCCAGCCCCCCGCCCAAGGGGCAGGAAGTCAGCTGGGGTCAAAGGATCCCAGCATATAAGCATCCAAATGTTTCTTAAGAATCCAAAATAGGTGCTTGCACCACCTTGAGGGGAGTCTATTCCAGGCCTTGGGGGCTCGGGCAGTAAAGAAGTTTTTCCTTACGTCCAGCCTAAAATGGTCTTACAGAAGTTTGTGACCATGTCATCCCTTGTGCTCTGGTGAACAGGTGTGGTTTTCCCCCAACCTGGTCATGATGCACAGCCTTTAAGTACTTACAGGCTGCCACCAGGTCACCCTTGGATACTTAGTAATGCATAAATGGCAGAACCCAATTTAAGACTAGAATATGACTTCATATAACAAGCACACAACACTAAGGCCATTCTAAGAAGTGAAATATATTAGTCAGGCCGTATCTGGGAGCTCCATAAGTGAGTATCTAACCTTCCTCACTTAGAACAACTTGTAGGGCCTAGAGTTGTAATTTTAAAAAACTACCTAAAATTGACTGATGCGTCAATAGTTTACAGGAAGCTCCTAAAATTATGTTGCCTTCATCTGTGTTTTGAAATCTTTCAACAGCTTGTCTTAGTTGGTGATGGTGGTACCGGCAAAACAACATTTGTAAAACGTCATTTGACTGGTGAATTTGAAAAGAAGTATGTAGGTACGTTCAAACACTTACATGGAGAATCCTAGTACTAGTTTAGTTAAAGCCTGCCAACAGTGTTTTAAAGTGGAAATGTTTTATTGCAGCAACACTGGGTGTTGAAGTCCATCCTCTGGTGTTCCACACTAACAGAGGGCCTATTAAATTTAATGTATGGGACACGGCTGGCCAGGAGAAGTTTGGTGGCCTGCGAGATGGCTACTATATCCAGGGTAAGTTTTACAAACACTATTCATTAGCTTTGCAGCAGACTTCTAGGTATTTTGTCATCTTTGACAGCTTTGCAAAGTTACTTGTGCAGTGGACCATTGCTCTATGCATTTGGTCTGGCGTAATAGTAACGGCATTTAAGTTGACTTGCTCTTCAAAACCTAGTGCAAGACTTGTCTTGAGGCAGACTGCCCAGAAAGTGCTCTTTTTTTTTTAAAAGACTCTCCAGCTATTAACAGAGAACTTTAACTAAGGTAATACCTAGTTACGCTGCCCTGAAGGCATCTCTTATTTAATTAAAACTGAATGCTTGTGTAAAGCAACTACTTGGATCATAAGCATGCTAAATAAACAAGATCTAATATTGTAATATTTGATTGGAAAGTGCAAGTTTTTTAGGTGTGGTTCTTTTATACTATGAACTTGGTTACATTGTGCTTCTAACTGTATTATGTCCTTTACCAGTCTTGGAACAACTCATGTAATAATTGTTTAAGGAATTGTTTTGTTCATTCCTTTTTATGAGAAGGAGGCTGCAAACTTGCATACCAGATTCAAATTCCTATCTGTTCCTCTTCAGCGGGCCAGTCTCTCTTAATTCTTATAAGCTAATTGGCCTTTACTGTATTTGAGTTATTAGAGTGTCTCTTTAAAGATCTGCAAAAGAGTTCCTTTTTTTTTAATTTAAACTTTTGAAAAGGGCCCTTCCCAAATAGGGGCTGCAAGCTATCAGCTTGTCGAATCTGTTTTACTGAGTCTGTATCTTTCCCTTGTCTAGTGAAGTACTTGCACACATGAAATGGACCATGACCATTTACTTAGTGTTAGTCACACCAAGTCTGAAAGACCCTTGTGGGGTGGGTTGGAAACTGGAAGATTTGAGTGGTAGCTTTCCTATATCTTGTATTCGTGATGCTGTGCTAAGCATAAGTTCAAGCTTCTGTATGATCTTTCAGCTCAGTGTGCCATCATAATGTTTGATGTAACATCAAGAGTTACCTACAAGAATGTACCCAATTGGCATAGAGATCTGGTACGAGTATGCGAAAACATACCTATAGTGTTGTGTGGCAACAAAGTGGATATTAAAGACAGGAAAGTCAAGGCAAAATCCATCGTCTTCCATAGGAAGAAGAACCTCCAGGTAGGATGAGGTGGTGCTTTTGGGGGATGTGGGGGGAAGAGGGAGAAAGGGGGGAATCTTCTGGTTTTGGTCAGTTAACTTAAGTGAAAATAGTAGATTACTCCTTGTAGTAAATTTTTTCTGCAATATGATTAAGTACGCTTCATCCATGAGGTCACTTCCTATGTAGTAAAGTTCCAAATAGCTTGCTGCTTTTTCCATAGAATGAGCTCAGGATAGTAATCAACTGCTGTTGGATAGAAAGCAAAAAATGATTTGGCTTCTGAATTAAGGTTTAGATTTGCTGTCATGGATGCAGGACACTCATCTTCAGTTTTGAGACCAGTTTTTCATCCTTAAAGCTGGTAACGGACCAAAAGAGCTTAAAATTCTGTGCAGGTAGGCCAAAAGTGAGCCACTTGAAAATAGGCCATTTAACAGCTATCTTGTCTGCAGAAGATGCAAATAGATTCCTTTTTATTGTGTTCTGAAAATCAAGATTTAGGCCACTATCTGATCAGATTCAGTGACCTGGCACAGAGCAAGTGTCTTTAATACCAACCCAGTTTTAAAGAAGAACTGTTCAGCAGCTAGTAGATCTGCCATACTTTCTAGGAAATGAAGCAGGTAAGACTCTGCTGTCAGTTGGACCTGATGTTCTTTTCATTAATAGTTGTCTGTTTGAATAGTAGTAATCTGTTTTTATGAATGCATATAACCTTTCTCTTGCTATTGTCTCTTTTCCACCACCACCCCCCTGCAGTACTATGACATTTCAGCTAAGAGCAACTACAACTTTGAGAAGCCTTTCCTCTGGCTTGCCAGAAAGTTAATTGGAGATCCTAACTTGGAGTTTGTTGCCATGCCTGCTCTTGCACCTCCAGAGGTTGTTATGGACCCAGCATTGGCAGCACAGTATGAGCAAGACCTACAGGTAACTTGAACTGCTGTTTTAAGTGTGTGCCTCTCCTTGCTTTGCGATAGCAGCAGGTACCTGGACTTCCAGGACTTTGTGCTGTGGAGTTGGTTCTAAAGAACTTTCATTTTGTTTCAGATTGCTCAAACTACTGCACTGCCAGATGAAGATGATGACCTGTGAGGGATGAAGCTGGAGCCCAGCGTCAGAAGTCTAGTTTTATAGGCAACTGTCCTGTGATGTCTGGTGCAGCGTGTTTGCCACTTTATTATCTAGCTGAGCAGAACATGTGCTTAATCTTTGGGATGCTGAAAGAGATGAATGGGCTTCGGAGTGAATGTGGCAGTTTAAAAAAAAAAAAATTCCTTCATATTTTGGACCTGCATATTTAGCTGTTTTTGGACTGCAATTACTTTCCCCCTTGAGTTTCAAATCTAAGACTGCTGCAGTCACATCACAGTATTCAGTGGTAAATCTTGTTTGTTACTGTCATTCCCATTCCTCTTTTGTTTAGATCATAATAAAGTTGTATTTCGAATATCTAAGCAAGTGAACTTTCATGCATTGTTAGGAGTAATTCTTCAAGCAATGTCTTCCATTCTTAAATAGGTGGTAACAGCATTCAGTTTTAATATATATATTTTTTTTCTTTTCAAATGTGTTTACTTGACTTGCTCCAAGTAAATTTTATAGGTAACAGTTACCCTTTTCAAGGCTTCTTGAGGCCTATTCATTTAAGTACTCCCTTTTTTTAAGAATGCTGAAATGTAACTGCTAGGGAAGGCAAAAGCAGTAGACACTTGAAATGGTAAGTGTAAAATGGATCGAAACAAGTGTAAAAATGCAATAGGGAAGTTAACTATCCTTAGGGGGCATAGTTATAAAATGGATGCAGTTTGCAGGGATTCTTGTGACCTAGGAACTATAGTATAAAAGCTCTGTGTGTTCATTGATTCTGTAAAGGGACTATCAGTTCTTATTGGAAGTTTTTGTTTAGTTATACATAACGTGTCTATTCACCGAGCTTTATACTATAGCAGCCAGAAACTATTGGCAGTGTGCCTGTGTCAAATGATGTACAAAGCTGTAGCTCTGCTGTAGCTAGTTTGACCATTGTTCAAACAGTGTGAAAATGGGACTTTTCCCTGAGCATGCATCTCAGACTTTTTTTGCTAAGTAGAAGCAAGTCACACTTGGACGGAAGTACTCCTGGCTACAGAAAAGCAGCATTTGTTAAATCTACCCTTGTATAAACCAAAAGTTACTGTAACTGCACCAAGTTCTATTTCTGAAACTCTTGTTTCTTACAGCACAAATGGTGGAAAATGTCAACTCTAAACACTATCTTGTAGAATCTATTCTTTGGATTTATTAGAGCTAGAGGTACTGGTAGCCAACATGGCAAAATAGAAATTTAAGAGATTCTTTTTTTTTTTTTTTTCCCCCCAGTAGTGTTCATTTGAGTACATGAAGCCTTGAACTAAATTCAGTTTTGTATTTTTGGTTTCTTAATAAAGTGAAGCATTTCATTTATTCCTCTTAACTTGCATGTTTTTGTACATTGCTGCTGCTTTTTTTTTCTTCTTTCTTTTCCTCATAAAGAATTAAGAAGCTTGCTGGTGACAGTCTAGTATTTAAGTGGCAATAACCTGCTTTAACTGGCTTAGCTATCTGATTTTAATTATGAATACTTTGGAATGAAACATTTTGAACATATTTCTAATAGAGTAGGCCAACACTGTTCAGAACTTTACTTCTCTTTACTCTAGTTATTTGTAGTAGGCTTTGAAATAATCCTTAGTGTGAAGGGTTAATATCAAGCAATTCCTTGCTTTCATCTGCTGTGCAATAAAGACATTGCAATTTTCCTCCCAAGCTTTTTGTTATAGAGGTATTTTTCTAACTTGAGCTAAATGTCATGGGCCTCAGCTTCCACTGTTCTGTGGTTTGTATCTTAGCTATTGATGTACAGCTTTCAACTTCGGATTTCAGTTGTTTTGCTATTTGTTCTGATGGGGCAGCAGGTAAAATTTACTGCTCCTTCCTTTCTGGAACAGCTTCTTATTAACATTTAAAATATGTCCACAGCAAACTCGCTTCAGGCCTGCACGTTGGTCTTGCCTCTTAATTTAAAAAAAAAATCAAGGCATGGATCTGTTTACTGCTCCCTATAACTGTCATTGCTACTGCCGTAACTTTGCAGGCAGGTCTGGCTTCTGAGAGACGCCAGAATGGCCATATTACAAACTTTTTTAAAACTTGGCCACTGCAGGTGTCTATTCAAGATGCATTCAGTGAGTTGCTAAGTGTTTTGACACAGTACTACTTTTCATTTCTCTCCTCCTGCCCCCCCCACCCCCAATCACACACTTTGAGTACATGTTGAATTAATAGGAAGATAACATAGTTATATTTGCATATCCAGAACCTGTCTTCCTATAAGATGTAAGATTAATTGATTTCTGTTGCAACAAAAATAGCCTTTAGAGTTAGCTCAGGTTGGAAGCCTATTAAATTAGATTTAAGTCCATCTTGAACTTTTAACAGCCTTGTAAAAAAATACATGGAACCAAAGAGGAAAGTGGAACACACTTCTCTAACTTCAAAGCAGATTACTCACTAAACTCGCTTTATTTTTATTTATACATATATAGAAAAATATATTTCTTATATTCTGTATTGAGCCCAATATTTCTCAAGCATTTTCTAAGCTGCTTAAAATGGTGAATGTTATTCCTAACAACTTGTATGCATTTTCTTAAATAACAAATCAAGTTAACAGTAGAGGGCTGTAAGGAAAATAGCTTGCCTTAATCTATGTCAATATCACCACCCAGTGGCAAGAGTCATACATTGGAATATAGTATGTAAACTAATCTGCATGCCTGAATTAATGTTTTCATGCTGAACTACACAAGCCTGCTTCTTTGTTATTGTCAGCTTCTTACATGGTTGACTTGGTAACTCCCTATGAATGAGGGGTTTTGCTTTTATGATGTCTTGCTACCTTGGGAATGTGTTTTGTACCGTTTAAAAAAAACAACAGACATGGTTTGCCCCTTGCAATTTTATTTTACGCTTTTAATAGGTTGCTTACCTATTCCATGTATATTTATCCCTGACACAGTTATGCCAAAATGTTGAGAGTTTCAGGTACTAATCCCAAGGGACAGCAAAATAGAATTTTTTCATACAAATTTGAAAATGAGGTAAATGCATTTGGGTTTGTTTTTAGTGGGGGGTTTTTTTTCTATTGAATACCTTCTTGTTACTTTTACAAGAGTGGGGTAAAGACATGGTTAAAGGAAACATAAGGCTGCCATAAATGGACAGCCTAAAACTTCCACAAGAAATGTTTCTACCCACATAGGGATTTTTCTTTAATGATTTGCTGTTTAATTACAAAAATAGGGTGTTTAAATTTTGCCCTGACACACAAGTCTTCTAACTGCCTTACTGTTGTATTTTAGAAATACTTTGCTTAATTCTTTTTAAAGCTTTGAGCTGTAAGACTATATCTATTCTAGGATAATGCAGCTGACAACTACATCCACTCTTTATCCTGATGAAAATGAACCTAAACTTTTTTTTTTTTTTTTTTTTTTTTTTAAGTTCTTGTTGCTTCAAATAGATAAATGAGGGTTGTTCTGTTGGTAACAGCTAGTGTGAACAGTCTTTAGCCTCAGGAGTTGTCATGTGTACATTATAGGCATCT